TTCATCTCATCACCGTCCTCCTCCTCCTAACCAGTCATTCCACCATCAGTCTCTACCCATTCATCTCATCACCGTCCTCCTCCTCCTAACCAGTCTTTCCACCATCAGTCTCTACCCATTCATTTCATTCTCCAAAGAGAATCTTTCTTAAATAGAAATCTAATCATATTACTTCCCTGCTTCAAACTCTTCTGTTATTCTCCTATTGTCTTCAAGATCCAGACCAAACTTCGAGCACTGCCCTTCAAACTCTGATTCCAACCTCCTGGTACAGCCTCTTACCGCGTTCCCAGACCCTGTCACATGGGCCACTATTTCTCCTGGGCCTGTTACTCATTGATTCCTCCGCACTCTTAACTTGCCCCCTCTCCATCCCAAAAGAACAAGATCTCTTGTCTGGAGCCCACTCCATTCTGATGTGCTTTGCACATTCTCTGCTATAGAACTCAACACTCAGCACTGCCGTCAGGTAGACTGTGCCATCCCTGAAAACGATAAGAACTTTTCCATCTTCTTATCTCCAGAGTCTAGTTTAGTGGTCTCTCATTATTTACTTAAGAATTCCAAACAGGTTCTCAGCAAAAGATTAGGGACTCTGAAGTTGGTCTGCTTGGGTTTGAATCCCAGCTCCTGAGATTACTCTGTGCTTCATTCCTTGCAGTAAAATGAGGCTAATTATAATACTTACATCTTAGGTTGTGTTGAGGTTATGAGATAATCCATGTAAAAAAACTCATAACCATACCTGACACATAGTCAATATGCAATAGTATCATCATTATTGTTGTTGTTGTCTTTATTAGAACAAGTGTGTATCCTTTTAGGGTGTATCAGTGAGGGTCCTGGCAAGGAACAGAATTCACGCCAGATGGTTCAAATGAAGAGACACTTACATAGGTGTTAGCCGGGAGCAAGCAAGGCTGGGTGTTCAGAAATCAGTGACATGACTGGGGCTGAACAGACAGACGGAGGAACTGTGTTCTCAAAACCCAGGAGGAGCTGAGGCACGGACAGGGGATGCCGTGGTTGAGAAAGTGTGCAGCTGCCGCCAGAGACGGGATTCCAGAACAGAGGAGGAGCAGACCACAAGGGCCCAAGCTCTTTCTCCTCTGGGGCTTCCCCTGGGAATTCTGCCAAGAATAGCAGAGAGCCCTGGGGACACAGCGGGTCTGCCGCAGGTGCAGAGCAGGGCAGGAGAGTGGAAATGGCTCCTCCGGGGCTGCTGGGAGGATTCTAGCACACAGGCTCACGAAAAGGAATGGAATGACAGTCCTGTGACATACAAACTCTCCCATATTTACTTAAATCCCAGTCATAGCGTTATAAAACCCATGGCAGGACTTGGCACATTTCTGATAGTCCGTCTGTGAGTCTCACGGGGTACCACGTTCTACTTAAAGCTGTGCAGAGACTTGGACAGGAGGTAGGACTTGCCTCCCTCCCTGGACACGTGTTTTACGAGCAGCTCAGAGAAGACTGTCTCCTTGCTCAATTTCGAAACCGCTGTTTGTGGCGTTCCCGCCCCTTCCATGCCATTTCTTCCCCTTGTTAGCTGGAATCTTCTTCTGTCCTGAGATCAATGAAAGGGCAAAATAAAAAGCCTTCCTGTTTCCCCAATTCAGGGAGCCTTTTGAATGAGAATATAAATAATCTATGAATACCACTTGTCCAGGGTAACTCAGGGGGCCCAATATCATAAATAAATCACTTATCTGTGCTAGAAAAAAGTCAACTGTGATCACTTTCAATTTATTGAAATGTCTACATTTTAGTTACCCTGATTAGTTACACATTTTAAAAATAAAAATTTTAAGTTCATTGCTCCCTTTTTGAAATGTGGAAGTTCTTATTCCTGCTAAATTATCTACATTTCATTACTTGTGTGTTGAGTGAATTTTTTTCTGCATAAAGTGTAGATTTTCTTTGTTATCAAAGGATTTTATTTCCAACATATGTTAGCCCCTTTTTTATTCATTTCCCAGTTAAGAATTTAAATGTCCATCTCTTTTACTGAGAATTTTTTTGAAAGCTTCTCTGTGTTTCTCTTGGAGCCTGACGTACATGGCAATGTACACAGAGTCTTGCTGAGTTGCATTACATATCCAGGGGTGTTTTAGCTCTTAAATTTAGTTGCTTGTCAGAGGAAAAACCTCAGAAGTTCCTGACTCTTTCCACTTCCTCTACCCCCACTCATCTTAGAAATGCCCTAATAAAATTTTACAACCATGTTCAAGTCAACTTTTTAGTAAAAAGAGAATAAAAACTAAAATATCCATCTGAATGATTTTTCCTTGATTAATTTAAACAAAGTTGATTTAAGTTTTCTCTTTAGTCTTTTTTTTTTTTTTTTTTTTTGTGAGGAAGTTATTCCCTGAGCTAACATCTGTTCCAAGCTTCCTCTATTTTGT